TGTGCTTAGGGTTGCTTCAGGTTCAACCTGAAAGAAAGAACTGGAGTCTATGTGGTGTAATTACTTTTCTGTCCTCAATATAAATGCCATGCATATTAGCCACCTGGGGCCCTCCACAGATTCCATCTATTTTTTTCCTCCATGCTTCTCAGGCTTACAATGACACAATTCCAAGGGGTTTTTCCACTATGTTCTATGTAATTATGCAAAGTATATTCTAATCTTACTGAAGTGTAAGATGAAATCTTGGGACTATAATACATTCTTAAGTAAGTTCATTTCCATCTTTCACTCTTGTTCCCCTATACTGTGCCATTCCCAAAGACCCAAGTGATTAATTCCTTTCTTTCTTTCTAAAAATATATATTTTTTAAGGAGGCTTCACGCCCAATGTAGGACTCGAACGCATGACCTGAGATCAAGTTGCACACTCTACCAACTGAGCTAGCCAGGCGCCCCCAAGTGATTAATTTCTTCTCAAATGTCATCCTCAGGAAATAGCCTTGTGAGGGTCCAAATGTTCCAAGCAAAATAGAAGAGAGCACATTTATAGCACCTAAAGGAAGACTGTATTGGGGTTCTGCTAGGATCAGTATAACTTGATATCATCTCCAGGGATTGGTATCCTGTCCATATCTTCTCTTCATCACACGACACCTACAGCCTCAATATTGTGAATCAAATTGTTGAGACAACCAGGCACAACATCTCTATTAATTTTTCCTTCTGAGAAAAGTTTATGCTATACATCTTCAGGTGAGGGACAAAATCATGAAGGATTAAAATAGCCCATCTGTTTTAAGTTCTGTTCATATACCCTCCATTTCTCTGCACCTACAGAAGTAACTACAATTTGAGGCTTAATTTTTCTTTGGAAATGAAACATTATTTTAAAAGGAGCTGTAATGTCAAATATTGAAAAATATTACAATCAGCAATAAAAATCGACTAGTTTTTTATTCATGAACAAAATTATTGGTTGTGTCCAATATTCCTGTTTCCCTTGTTCAACTAAGAAAGCTGCCTGCCTTTCAGCAAAGGGTGTCTGTTCACATTTAGCTTTTTCTCAGCCAATGGGACAACATCCAGGAGAGCTGTTGATATTAAGACTTGATTGGGCAAAGGCTTCCAGCTCAGAGAAGTGGTACACTCTTAAGGATGTGGAAGAACTTTTTCTGGAAATACCCTGGCTTCCAACCAATCAATCCTCTCTTCTTGCTGAAGGTTTTCTTTAAACTATGCTCTATACTTTTCTCCATACCAGCTGGACACCTTTCTAAATAAACATCTCTGTGCAGTGCACTGCAGAGCTGAGCATTCTTTTGAAGGGAGGGGAAAAATCCTGCTGCCTCCCTTCACACAACCTGCTTTGCACTCCAGGCATGGCAGCTAAGCATAAGATGAAATGACTTTGCAGAAAACTAACACCACCACTTGCAGCTTGGATAAGACCTTTTTCCGTGTCAATTGCTGGAAAAGCCAGCAGAGCACAGACTCACTGGAGAAGAGAGAGGGGTTTGGATATAGGATATGGTGGTTCAAACAAGGGGAGGAAGCCATTGGGGAAGAAGTGTTCATGTACCCATTTTGTGCATAAGAGTTAAATTTCAGAATTCTCCAGTTGAAAGTTTTTCCCAAATAAGAGAAATATTCAGAATGGAGAGAACATGTCCATTTTCTAGAAAATGGAATTATATGTGAAGCTGAGTAGATTTTCCCTTTTTCAAAAATCTATAGATACATATTAAAAAAATTAAAAAAGACTAATATAACAAAAGATATCAGTGCTTACCTCTTTTGGTGATGAGCAAATGTTACGTTATTTATAGCTTTCTGAAATTGTCTAACTTTTCTACAATGAACGTGAATTATTTTTTAATGAATAAAAAATCCAAGACAGAAGAATATGCCAATAATCATGCTAAGTGAAATAAGTCAGAGAAAGACAAGTATCATATGATTTCACTTATATGTGGAATATAAAAAGCAAACAAATAAAACCCAACTCAAATACAGAGAACAAACTGGTGGTTGCCAGAGGAAAGCTGGATGGGGGATGGGAGAAATAGATAAAGGGGATCAAGAGTTACAAACTTCTGCACCTGGGTGGCTCAGCTGGTTAAGCGTCTGACTTCAGCTCAGGTCAGGGTCTCATGGTTTGTGATTCGAGCCCCATAGGTTCTCTACTGTCAGCACAGAGCCTGCTTCAGATCTTCTGTCCCCCTCTCTCTGCCCCTCCCCTGCTTGCATTTTCTCTCTCTCAAAATAAATAAGCTTAAAAAAATAGTTCAAGAGTTACAAACTTCCAGTCATAAATTACAGACATGAAAATGTACAGGATAGGAAATACAGTCAATAATATTGTAATAATGTCGTATGGTGACAGATGGTGACTGCAGTTATTGTGGTGAGCACTGAGTAATGTATAAAACTGTCGAATCAACAATGTGGTACACCTGAAACATTACATTGTATGGTAATTAAATTATACTTCAATAAAAAAATAAATAGAAAAGAATGGACTTTGTGTAGCTCACTAATAAGCAGTCTAAGCTTTCTATAATGATCATGAATCATTTTTATAATAAGTAAAAACACCCAAGACAGAAGGATATGCCAATAATCACGAAATAACAGGATCAATATACTGGCAGAAATACTGAAATGCATTTGTACTTGACTAGGGACTCTAATCTGGGAAGAACTGGATTGTTTTTTCTGCTAAGAGTACTATTAAATTTTCTCTATTTGTCCTAAAATAAGCCAAGGAGAAGGTAGTTCTTGAGTGGGTGGCATCAGAGACACAGGGAAGTATACCTGAAGTTAAACAGGTTGAATAGTCAGATATTAATTATATTTCATAGTCATCATGTCTACATCCTTTTTGGTATTAAAATATAAGCTAATGGAAAAGTGACTTCCAAGTTTATAGCTCTGGTCACTTTCTAACATGAGCTATTTTTGGCTACAGGCACTTGCCCTTCATAAAAATTAGTCATGTTACATAGACACAGTCAGGGGCAGGGTCCATTTGAATGAGTGACTCATAAGTTTTCTATAGAGAACACAAAAATTCTTTCCAATAATACAACAGCAGGGAACCCTTGTGGAGGTACACACAAAAGACAACAAAGTCAAGTGCTTTACAAATGGAAAGGTCAATGACAGCTTTGTAGTATGATCTACACTTAGACATGGCAACACACATTGGTCAAGTTAAAGTAATGGAAAAAAGTTCCTTTTCCAGCTCACAGCTTTTCATGAGTAATTTCATAGCTATACACCACTGTGAATCACTCTACAAGCACACACAGAGCGTCAAAAAGTTAATTCAGGGCACAAGCCTTCAATGGCATAAAATCTGACTGCTTGGTGACATCAACTCTTGAATATTCAGGGTGAGATGATCCAATTTAGCCAGTTGCTGTGCATTTATTCCTCTTATCTCCTGTTTCTCAGCTTCTAGTCATTTCACAAATGTCCTTACTGGAGAAAGGAAGTGAAATTCAAACCAAATCAACTTAGTTTCTGGTTATTAGCGTTTTTGGTCAAAGTGTGTGGGAAGTGGAAACGAAACAAAGTTTTGACGTTCCCCACTGATTTTAATGACCCTTCTAACCTCATTCCCACTACCATGTATAGATGAAAACTAAAACTCTTAACATTTGGGAGGAAAATGGGTCTTAGGATTGTAGAAGGTTTCCCAATCCATCAGTCAGAAAGGTGTCCTTGGGCTAACCGCAGGTCATTAAATGTTCAGGAACCACGAAAACCAATTTTAAGTCATTGAAATTTTAGCAATCACAAAAGTATTTGGTGAACTCAAAATGTGGCTATAAGGTTCCAAATGTTTAAAAGTCCAATAGCATCTCAGTTATAAGTAGTTCCCACCTGCTCTGCTCAGATATATTAGACCTTAGGCAAATGTGGCAGATTTGAAAGAGTGATGACCTCAAAGGATCATTCTATTTGGATACATTGTATAAAACTATTATGGACTATTTTTTTTTTTTTTTTGAGAGAGAGAGAGAAACAGTGCACAAGTGGGGGAGAGGGGCAGAAGGATAGAGAGAGAATTTCAAGCAGGCTCCACCCTAAGGCTCCATCTCATGACCCTGGGATCATGACCTGAGCCAAAATCAAGAGTTGGATGCTCAACCGACTGAGCCACCCAGGCTCCCATTTTGGACTTTTGACTGTCATGAAAAACAGACGAGATACTTAACAATCGATGGGTGGAAGAAGGGCATGATTTATAGCATTTGCCTACTTCCTTGGTCTAAATTTTTCCACCCATTTAAAAAAAATTTTTTTTAGTGTTTATTTACTTTTGAGAGAAAGAGACAGAGTGTGAGTGGGAGATGGACAGAGAGGGAGACACAGAATCGGAAGCAGGCTCCAGGCTCTGAGCTGTCAGTACAGAGCCCGACATGGGGCTTGAACTCACATGTGAGATCATGACCTGAGCTGAAGTCGTACACTTAACCGACTGAGCCACCCAGGCGCCCCTCCCACCCATCATTTAAAAGATTTATTTATTTTGAGAGAGAGGGAGGGAAAGCATGCACATGAGTAGGGGAGGCACAGAGAGAGAGGGAGAGAGAAAATCCAAAGCAGGCTCAGCGCTATCAGTGCAGAGGCGATGAGTGGCTCAATCTCACAACTGGGAGATCATGACCTGAACTGAGAAATCAAGACTTGGACGGTTAACTAACTGAACCACCCAGGCACCCCCTGACGAGTCAATTTTAATCCACCAGCTTGATGTCACTGAATGAGGAACTGGGAAGAGATGAGCAGAAGCACACTACTAGATAACATTTCCACCATACAATAGATGTAAATAATCTAAGAGCACAGATAACAGTAAAATGTAGCAAAAAACTAGGAAGTAATGAAGTTTGAGTATTTATTACCTTTGTTTTAAATTTAAGTTACATTTTATTTAAATATAATATGGACTAGATTCAGCACATCACTTAAAGCAGCCTGAGACTTACCAAGAATACATGCTCAAATATCTGTGTAGGACTATCCATCTGACCAAGGATCACTATCATTTCATTATCTATAAATTCCTTGAATTCTCGCAAGTTACACACCATTTGCATTTCCAACTCAGTTCGTATCTGAAACAAAGAGGACATATTTTACTTCTCTGGAAAGTGCCTCTGTACTTCCAACCACTGTTTCTTTTTTTCTTTTTAAAATTTTCTTTTTTTCTTTATTTATTTTTTAAAAAAAATTTTTTTTTTCAACGTTTATTTTTTTTTTGGGGGGGACA